TAATGGCTCGCTGGCGTTACTTCACAAACCACTCCCTCTGCAAAATGCCAGGCGCCATCTTGACTTGTTTACAGACTCTAGCAGTTGTGAAATTCTAATTTCATAGGAACTTTCAAAATCTTTGAACTCATAGTTCTTTGCTGTCCTTTAGTATATTGGCTTATTTCTATGACTGGTTCTTCAAACCAGCCTATCTATGCTCAGAACAATGATTCTTAGCCAATGTCTACAGACATTTTTAGTCGTCATGATTTGGAGATGGTTGGTGCTTCTAGCATTGCGTGGGGAGAAGCTCAGGATGCTGCACAACATTTGAGGCAAAGGCAGGAACTTCAATGTCCTTGTTGTATTATCCTACATTTACTACTTAAATCTTTGGATATTTTTGACAGTGATTATGATTCCAAAACATTTTTCTGTGAAACGTTCAAAAGACACTTTGAAAAAGCTTCTTTTCCCTTTTGAATTGGTGCCTTCAAAAATGCTCTCATATTATGAGTGACTATTCTTGTGATTTTTGAAGTATTTTAGTACACTTTTTAGACAAAACAATGAAGACTCATATTCCCTTTAAACCAGTTGAGGGGAAATCTAGGCAAAAATAGGAAAAGTTAATCTTTGTTCCCTCCACGTGGTCATGTCTTTGAACTTTCCAAACACCACACTGCCTACTGAGAGTGTTTATTTTCTTCAGCAGACTTTGGCTTTCCTTCATGTGAGGCAAACTTTAGTATAATGTGAGATTAGAAGATTTAGGAGCTGTGTTCCAGGAATCAATGAGAAAGTGAATCTTTTCCCTCTTTCTCACTTCCAGTGTTCTACTTGTTAAAGCTTCTTTTGAGAAATATTTTTTAAATTTTCAAAACTCATTAAAAATCCTGTGAAAAATAACATCAAATGTGATTTTAGGAAATTAATTTTTCCTTCATAAATTTTACATGCATATATTTGAACAGAAAAAATATATGTCCCAGACACTAACTAAAAAAAAATTGAATACATGAAGCTATGAAGGCAAAAAATTATAATAGAAATTGGATTTTTTTTTCAGGTATACACTTATTTTAACAAACACATTAAAAAAGTACATATTAAGAGGGTACCATGCAATGTTTCTGTATATGTATACATTGTATATTTCTGAATCAGGTTAAAAATAGGTTTTCTCAAACATGTATAATTGTTTATAGTGAAAAACTCTTAAAATTCTTTCTTCTGGCTTTTTAAAATGTACAGTACATTATTGTTATCTATAGCCACCCTGCTGTGCAACAGCTCACCAGAACTTCCTCCTCTTTTCTAACTTACTAGGTACCCATCCCTCTCATCCCTGTACTCCCTCCAGCCCTGGGAACCACCATCCTAGTCTCAACTTCTGTGATATCAACTCTCAGTTTCCATCAGATTCTACATGTGAGTGATACACATGGTACTTGTCTTTCTATGCCTGGCTTATATCACCTTAACATAATGATCGATCCATGTTGTTGTCAATGACAGGATTTCATTTTTTTATAGCTGAATAGAATTCCAAGATATATATGTGCCACATTTTCTTTACTTATTCATAGGTTGTTTCTATTTCTTGGCTGTTGTTAATAGTGCTGCAATTAATAGGAATGCAGATGTCTCTTTGACATAATGATTTCGTTTCTTAGACATACAACCATTAGTGAGGAGAATTAGGTTTTTTGTTGCTGTTGTTGCTGCTTGCTTGCTTGTCTGTTTTGCATTGCTGGGGATTGAACCCAAGGCATCAAGCATGCTAGGCAACTGAGCTACAACCCCAGCCCCTAGGGGATTAGTGTAAATAAATCAATAAATGGGTAGTATTTCTTGGTATCTGAATATTTATTTCTGTGGTTTTTAAGCATCTTCTTCTGGTGACCTTGCTATCTCTAATTTACTTACTTTAAGGTTTGCTTGTAAAAATATGTAACATATAAGATCACTTATGTTGAACTTATTTAAACATAAAGTTGTGAACCTTAAAATTAAAAACATGCTTTATAAGATTTCTACTTTGTTATAGGCTTTCTGAGCCTTAAAGTGTACTTTTTAAAACTTGTATCTAAAAACTTATGAAAATAAAATATTGGATTGTATATAAATATGTCACCAACAGATGTTAGGAATAATCTGTTTGGATGCCTTCTTGAACCAATTTTTTTTCTTTACTTTTCTAGAATAAATAAATGTGAAAATAAACAACAACCAAAAAAATCATGATGTGAGCCCAATGGTTGAGGTCAGTGATTGTTTTAAAGTTAGCTACAAAAACCTCTTTAATAGTAATGGAGGTATTCCAAAGTCACTGGCAGAAGTTCACAAACTAAAGTTAAAGATGATAATGTCCTTAACTGCTAACCACTCCAAGTCAAATAATTCCTGGTAAAATGAAACCCTTTGTGTTTCTCCCCCCCGCCCCCTTTAAGAATAAAAATTCTTACATTTTCTATTTTTCATCTAAGATAATCTAATTTAGCTAAGAATAAATACTTACTTTACACTACAATAACTTTTAAATTACTATACAAATATTGCTTAAGGCAACACTTTTAATTGAAAACATGATTTCGAAAAATTGAAGTGCTATAGAGGTCTTTTATTTTATAAGTACAGTACAGACAGCATCACCTATAAAGTCAAGTTATAAAACTAAGGACATAAATTATTTCATAAGTTTAAAAAAATAAAAGTTAACAGCCATATGGATTAGTACAATTCACATTAAATATACATTAGTACATTACTAATATATATTTATTATACTAATGAATATAAATAGTTGCACAGGGTTAGCAAAATAATACCACACAGAATTTATTGTGGCTAATTTGTATGGATAGAAAGTAATCCAATCAAGTAGGAATTAGAAATTAGGTAATATACTCATCTATCTCACAATTATTCATCCATTCTAGACCTAGGGAATAAAGAAGAAAGAAAAATGGAAACACAGACAGAATAACCTTCTAGTCTCTCAAAGGAAACATTCTGGCCCTTCCTCTTCGTGAGTCATCCACATTCTATTTTCAGAGAAAGGGAATCCAAGCAAA